ATGTTTTGACACTTATATATATATAGATCTTGTTTATTCAATAATTTGTGTGATTTAATACTTCCAATTGATCATTTCATTCTATCCATATGTCTATGTATGCTAGAATAGATATTCATGTGTTTATCTCTATTTCTTGTGTTATTGATGTATGTCTATGTGTATTAATGCTATAGATCGAGAGATTGTCAAGACATAGTGCTTAATGGAATGCTCTTGTGGTTTATTTGATGGTTCATACTCATTTTTTGATGGATTGTGCATCTCCCTTAGTTTAATTAGTTTAATTTCATATCATTAGCTTAATTGAGTGTAGTTGTAGTTTAGATGTTAAATGGGAGGACAATCCATGCGTGTTGTTTGATATTCCATACTTATGAAAGCAGGTAACATATATCTCTAACCTTGTGATGTGTTTGGATTGTGAGCTTAAAGAAAGGATTAATGGCTTAGTTTGATATATTGTGCTATTCACCATGTTGCTTAGACAATATATGCTTAATTTGTCATCCATGCTTGTTGAAACAACCACACACACACTATGTTACAATACATGTTTTTCCCCCTCATTAGTCATTCATTAAGGGTGTAAAAAAGCTATGTTTAGTGGTGATCTCTAAACCTCAAGATCTCTCTCTTATTTTCTCTCCATTATATTTAATCGTTTACTTTGGTTTAAATTGCATTTTAGTGTAATTTAACCACCAACCAATCTTTTGATCACTCGACTTACTAACCCTAATCTCGATTCCACAACCTAGTACAACCCACCAATCCCTTGGGACGATCCCTACTCGCCTTAACTATATTTTTAGTAAAAGGTAGTAGTGGCAATTTCTAAATGTAAAACTTGGCCACATTCATCATAGCCCTACACCACTATCTTTTTGGCGTACAAACTTTGGATTTGGGGTGCGACCCCCAAGACCACCAAAGAGTCCTATGTAGAGTCGGAAAAGTGAATGACTGTCTTCGCTCGGCACGAACAATCTCTAAGACTGGAACTGATAAGCACCTGAAAAAATAATGGTGGGTCAGGCCCACAAAAAAGTTCTAATCTACTACATCCCAAACAGAGACCCGGTATACGTACACATCCTAATTAATTCAACAATAACTAAATAGTCCATATATAGATATATACACACTAAAGGAACCTCACTAGACTATAGAGTTGTCTCAACCTGAATAGTAGGCAACATGTAAAATGCACATATAGTGGGCATGAGTACCTAAACCTACCAGGGTACACAACTACATTATATCTAGTTACACATCCCTGGCAATACATGCACCCTAACCACTGATCCTGAGACTCAAGCTCATATCATGGCGTATAATTCTATATGTAAAATCAGTCTTATCCAACCATCAAAAATAAACTATCCAATTATTATTTCAATCATATGTCATCCAACTATTCCGTTGACCTGACATGAATAAGTAGGACTTAACACTGTGAATAATCCATTCCCTTATTAAAAATAGGTAGGACTTAACTCTTAAGTTAATCCATTCCTAATATGCCCCCATCCTATAATGGTGTATTAATCCATATCATAATCAAATAAAAGTTTCAAATTCAAGGATAATGTAAATAATGTTTACATATAATAATCCAAATAAATATGATATAAATCATATATACATCCTTTGTATTTACTTGAGTAAAAATATAAATTCTAAATAGCATGCATTTAATTTATATCATAAGACATTAACATGCATCTCAACTAAATTGTACATCTCCATATTCTGATTAAATTAATTTAAATCTAACAATTGATTAAAATAATTTAATCCAACAATATTTAATTAATTTATCCTTTTAAAATTAATTAAATTTCATAACTTAGCATGTAAACTTAAATCATGCATTCCAATCCTTAATGAATTTATTTAAACTAAATAAATATTTAATTCAGATCCATCAATCAAAACCAAATAAATATTAATTTAATATAAAAATTATCTAATCAAAACAAAATAAATAAATAAAAACATATATAAGATAAGTTAAAGAATATATAATTACCAATCATTATGTCAATCATCTTACCCATCATTATATCAATCATGCATTACATAACAGATTCATTATATAACCATATTAATGTGTTTTCCTTAAATGACTTCCTCGTTCGACGTGCTACTTTAGGAAAACTAAATTCTGGCTTCTTTCACATATTGCACAACTGATTCATGCTACCAATTTTATGTGTTTTTTTCCCTCGTTCGGTGTGTATATGCAAACAAAGTAATCTAGTTACAATTGTATAACAAACTAAAATCTCTCTCCTAAAAGCATTGTTCCTCGTTCGGCATACGCACTCAGTGAAGAAAAACAAATATTGACTACACCTTTATGTAACAAACTGACTCATGCTTTAAAAAAAAACACAAACAATAAAGAACCCAGTTTGGTAGAAGCAAGGAAAAAAATCTAAAATCTATTATTAAAACACATGAAATATAATTTCTAAATCAATTCATGTAATTGAACTCAATTAATTTATTTAAAAACCTAGAATTAATATAGCATGCATAAAGTATGAATCAAATGAGAAGAGAAGAATTAAAACTTGCCTTTAGGAATTTGATAAAAACTCTAACCTTCTTCTTCCTTTTCTTCTTCTTTCTTTCTCTCTCTAAAATATATTACGTGATTATATTTTTTACCCTCTTTTACAACCCTGTAGTTATATATTTATAGGCAAATAAAATAACCCTAATCTTTTTCCCAATCCAAGTCAAACTAATAATTAAAATAAAATAAAATTTAAATACTAAAAAGGTAATTAAAATATATTTTACGTATGTAATCTTTTTTTATATAACATATAAATATACACATCAGATTATTACTAAAGAACTTTCCTTATATATATATATATATATATATATATATATATATATATTATATTATATATACATATACAATTATCCATGGATAATTATCCGTACTCATTAAATCCCTTATCCAAATAGTCCATGGGACCCAATTAGTTGATTTATTACTACTATCCATATCTAATTCCTTAAAAATATAAAAATAAAAATAAAAATAAAATAATTAAATTCATAAATAAATGCATATCATCATATACAATTTAATTTAAACAAATAAGTCAAAAACACATAATTTTAGCACACCATTTAATTTAAACAAATAATTCAATTAATACATAAACAATCAAATCAATTAAACAAATAAAAGGAATCAAATCAATTCAATTAACACATAAACTATCAAATCAATTAAAATAACTAAAAAAAAAAAAAACCGAGACTATCCTTTTAAAATCAGGGGTATTACAATTACCACTACCACCGTCAACACAACCGCTACCTTCCACCATAACCTACACTACCACCGCTTTCCACCACCACCACACCGTCACCGCCTCCATTACCTTCCACCCGCACCTCCACCCCCACCGCCACCTCCATTACTTTTCACCACCATTGCCACCTCTATTGTTTTCCACCACCATTACCACCATTGCCTCAACTACCTTCCTCCACCACCACCTATACCACTACTGTCTTCCACCACCACACAGTCCACACCACTGCCACCACCACTGTCTTTCACCATTATCCCCTAGATCACTAACGCCTTCCATCACTACTTCTACCACCGCCTTCTACCAACCCCATTACTGTCTTCCGCCACCGCCACCACTGTCTCCTTCTAATACTACCACCTAAACCACTATACCTTTCCACCTTCAACACCGTTGCCAGTTCTTTAAAAAAATAAAAATAAAATAAATAAATATTATAGAAGAATGTTATTTTGTTAATTTGTTTTATTTGTCACTAAGAAGGGTATTTTGGAAAATTCAATTTGAAATTTATTTCATTCTAAATTTTAAATTGGTCCAATCAAACACTAGAATGATTATTACCATTCAATTCCTATACATTTTATATTTACAACCAAACAATAGAATAAGAATAATCATTCTCTTCCATTTCTATTCTCTGTTTTTTATTATCACTTGTATTCTGTTCCATTTATGTACACCACATATAACATTAATACATTCTACCTTTTTAAAATTACGAAACTACCCACTTAGAATAGTATTAGTTAGGGTAAGTTTTTGAAAAATTATGATAATACCATTTATCACTATTCAAAAACTAAAACTTCTAGATGGCCTCAAGCACCTAAAGAGAGGTTTTAATCTTACACCGGAACATTCAATTAATTTTTTAACTTATATAACAAGTTAACTTATTTATTTATTTATTTGTGACCAAAATCAGAAAACTATCATGACTACTGATACATGCATGTATTCCAACTATTCTTAATAATTTAATATCATTCAAACGGACTCAACAAGTTTATTTGATTTGATATTTCTCAGCATGACTCTCCCATGAAGACCATCATCATTATTAGGGGCACCCAAATTAATACAGTAAATTCTGAATCACTGATTTTGGTCCACCTAATCTCTAAGACCCAACTACTACAGAAGGTTCTTTTTGTTTGACGTTGGACCAATTATAGTACTGTCATAAAATTACCCCCAAACCTTTTCGATCTGTCTATTTTTGTTTTATATTCACTCATAGTATGATGTTTCGGGATATCATATTTCTAAGTAACTTTTTTTTTAAGAATTCAATATTATCATATGTTTTTTATAAATTAGTTGTTTGGAGTAGTTTTAATCAATATTTACTTAAATTTGTTATATCGCAATTATGATTAATAACTTTATTGCAAATCATGTTAGTTTAAATTTATATAACAATTCCCCCCTTCCCCCTTTTTTTATTCTTTCACCTTAATCCATAGACCACAATCTTCAGTGTTCCAATTACAAAGAAGTCAAGAAAACAATATAGATGTAAAATGTAGTAAAATTCATTATCCCCTACCATCTCAAATACATGAAACGTGCTAAAGACAAAATTAATATCTACACAAAAAAAAAAAAAAAAAAAAAAAAAACTTACAATTGACAGTTAAGAAGGAAAAATTAGGCATAAAAAGTAAATAAAGTTAATATTTAATAATTCTCCATGACAAATTTTATAGGACGGATGGAATAATAAATTAGGACGAACTTGCACTCTCAGATGAACTCAAAAGCGCTTCCAAGGAAGGACTTGCACTAGTACTGTCAGATGAACTCAAAAGTGCTTCCAAGTACTCTGCACCCAAGTCCTCCAACACCACCACTCTCTCGCTCTCCACCCCTCTCCCTCTGCTTTTCTTGCTCCCCCTGCTTCTCCTTTTCATGGAGTGCTTTCTCTTCAGAGCCAACACAGGAGAACACCCAACCTCAGTACTGCACTCCATGTCCCGAAGCGATTCGCGGACTTTTTCTTCCGGGAAATTCAGAATAGCCCCAGGACCTCTCATTGAAAAAGCAGCTTGATCATAAGCCAAAGCAGCAGCTTCTGGACTGTCGAATGTGCCCAACCAAACCCTTATGCCATTCCTAGTGGAATCCCTTATTTCCGCGGCAAATTTTCCCCAAGGCCGCCTCCGAACGCCTCTATAAGATTTTTCCTTCTTGGGTTTCTCTTCGGCTTTCGAACAAACCTCGTACTCTTCCTTAATCCGATCACCGGAAATGGACTCTGCTAAGACATTGAAAAGAAGCATTTCTTGGGAGTCATTTTCATTGAAGGGAAGGGAATTGCTGAATTTCAGGCCATCACTAGAAATAGTGCTTTCCGATGACCTGAACGGCGGCAAAAAATCAGAATTTAAAAAGTGGAAGAGAGAAAAATTCATTGAAAGAGGTTGGAAAATTTGTACCCCTCTGTTTTTAGTTGTGATAGTCGACCTTGGGGATGAGCATGTAGTGTGGCCTTGCCTCGTTTAAATACAATATAAGGAAGAGAGTGGGACTTGAAATTTTGGAAGTAGTACTGTTTAATTTGATAGAGAGTGGAAGAGACAAAGTGGGGGCAAAAGAGTAAAAAGGTGAAGAAAAGTGTCTAAAGATGAGATAATTGCACACGTGGGTCAATTGAAGATAGGCGGCGTGGTCAACCAGCCAATTGAATTGACGTCAGCATCTATCTCATCTTGTGGTCTGAGTTTTTCTGGGACTTGTCCACGTGGCGGATTATTTTTTTGACAGATGGACTTGGTAACTTGGGAACCACGACTACCTTTGGTAAATAAAATATTGAATGCGCCGCAATACCATTGCTACGTCCACACAATAAACTTGCAATTCAATTAAGTTAGTGTCAACGTATAAAAATGCTCTAGTAAGATGTGTCCGACTCACTTTATATCTTTTTTATAATTAGAGTGCCACTACAAGCTTTCAAGGCACTTGAGTAATAACTATTTATAATTTTTAATTCTTTAGATGCATCGGCTAGATTAAAGATCATCTAACTTAATGGTATACTTTGAGGATAAGAGGAAGAGTTTGAACCCAACAAGATAAAAGAAGTGTCTTTGAAATAATAGACTCGGAACATATGCAAATTTTAATATTTCACAAAATTACTATTCTAAAGTTTGAATACACACCCAAAGAATTTAATAACTTCCATAATACTTTCTTACTTTTTAAAATAAAATAAATTAAGGTTGAAGCCAAAATAAGCAAAAAGTTAAACAAACACAACGAATTAACACTAACTACAAAAATTACTTTATTATGTCAATTTGGTTTCTATGTCAAAGTGATTGTGAGAGGTAAAAAAAAGTAATAATAATAGGTCCAAAGTGATTGTATGAGGTAAAAAAGTAATAATAATAATTAATTAGTGGCATGTAGTACATTACATAACTGCCCTTTTGGAAGACAAATCTCTAGCCAAACACCAGATAAAAAGACGGACAAACACCCTACTGTGTTTTGACTCTGTACAATGCAATTTCTACTCATCCAATCTCATCATTAGTTGTCTAGAAATTGATTTCTGAATTAGGTTCAAGAACTAGTTTAGTATGTGAATTTGATCTCTCTTTTCCTCAGATGGACTGAAAATCAATTGGTGACATTTTACGCCATTTATTCAAACAATGATCATTTTGAAAAGTTTAGCTTCACATGGATCGAAAATTAATCAATTGATAACAAATATCATGTACATCAAATTTCTAGCTCAGCCATTTATTCGGACAATTCGAGAACTTATATCCCTACATGTTTTTATCAAAGAAAATGATAGGGTCATCCAATGATTTCTCCGAATAAGTCCCGAATTTGACGTATTTTTGTCCACCTCATTTACTTAAACAGTTTTTAAAAAATAATTGTTTAATACGTGATAAGTATAACCAATCACGTTAAATTTGATATTAATTCGAGAATTCCTTTTTAATTCCCATACCATTACTCTTTTATCAAATTCTCTTGCTACTTCATCTCATATATAAAATTTTCGGTTCACACTCTTAAGCAAATCTTGTTGGGTTTATTTCCTTCTATATGGAAGAAAGCCCAAGTGGGTTTTATTAAAGCCCAAAGCACAGTTCTTTAGGGTAAATAACCTTAAGGAAGTCAGAATTAAAAAGGGAGAGAGATCAGCCGTTTTTTTCACAAGAGAGAAGAAAAACGCAAGTTTTTTCTATTCTGCCCAGATTTCATCAAACGTCCGATCCTGCTTCGTCCATGGTCCGATCGAGCAGAAATTTGGAGGAGAAGTTCATGACATAATGTGTTAAAATCTGAACGGTGGAGATCAAATTTTGAGCTCGGGAACAGTGATTCGTTTCCGTGAACAGTAACCGGGTTTTGGTATTTTTCTCTTCAATTCTCTTTGTTTTTGCCAAGATTGGTGATATCTTGATAAGATGTATTGTAGCCTCTAATTATGATTACAGAAGACTTTGTGTATCCATTATTTAGTTGAAAGTGGAGATTTTAACTGGACTAGGTCTCGTGGTTTTTGTTCCTCACACTGGGAAAATTTTTCACGTAAAAAATTGCTTGTGTTCTTGTGGTTTGATGTGATTGATTTTCTTTTATATTATTTTCAGCACATATAAAATTAGAGATACACTATATTTACTTGTATATAGGGAGAAGAGTTATTCCACTGTATTTGTTTATTGTTATCTCTTCCAACAAAATGGTATCAGAGCGCCAAGTTGACAGATTGCCAGGTTGGCAGTTTGAGTTATAGAAGCAAATAAGAGTAGAATGATTAATCTCAATGGTTCAAATTATCACATATGAAAAGGAAAAATGGAGGATCTTCTTTATGTGAATGATTATTACCTATAGGTGTTTAGTGTTGAAAAACCAAAAAATAAGTCTGACATGGAATGGACTTTGTTACATCGACAGGTGTGTGGGTATATGAGGTAGTGGGTCGATGATAATATTTTGAACCATATTAGTGGAGAGACGAATGCATGTTCTCTATGGAGTAAGCTTGAACAGCTATATGCTAGAAAGACTGGAAAAAATAAATTGTTTCTGATTAAGCAAGTGATGGCTTTGAGATATCAGGACGGGACTCCTTTATCTGATCACCTGAATACATTCCAAGGAATTATTAATCAGCTGGCTGGAATGGGTATTAAGTTTGATGATGAGATATAAGGGTTATGGTTGCTTGGTTCATTACCAGACTCGTGGGAGACGCTCAAAACTTCATTGTCTAACTCCGTTCTAGAAGGTGTAATCACAATGGATATGGCCAAGAGTTGTTTGCTAAATGAAGAGATGAGAAAAAAAACACAAGGATCCTCTTCATAATCAGAGATCTTGGTTACAAAAAAGTGGGGGAGAAGTAAGAGCAGAGGTCCAAAGAACAGAGATAACAACAGAAGCGAGTCCAACAAGTTTGCAAATGTTGAGTGTTATCATTGTGGGAAAAAGGGACACATTAAGAAATATTGCAGGCAATTGAAGAAAGAAAATAAGAATGAGAAAGGGAAGGGAACGAAGAATGGAGATGACAAAGATGGTGATGACAGAGTTGCTACCACTACTCCTGCAGACTTCTTCATTGTTTATAATGATGAGATGATAAATGTTGCATACCATGAGACCAGTTGGGTAATTGACAGTGGTGCTTCAATTCATGCTACATCTCGAAAGGATTTCTTTACATCTTATAAATCTGGTGATTTTGGAACAGTAAAGATGGGCAACGATGGCTTGGTTAAAGCCATTGGAATTGGGGATGTGTATTAGAAGACGAATAATGGCACGAAGTTAGTTCTCAGAGATGTGAAGTATGTTCTTGACATTCGTTTGAATTTGATTTATGCAGGTAAACTTGACAATGAAGGGTATTGCAGTACTTTCAGTGATGGCCAGTGTAAGCTCACTAGGGGTGTTATGGTTGTGGCTCGAGGCATAAAGCACTCTACATTGTACGTTCTGCAAGCAAATATCTCTAACGACATTGTTAATGTGATGGAGGATAATGATACAACAAAGTTGTGGCACAAGAGACTGGCTCACATGAGTGAGAAAGGATTAGCTCTACTAGGGAAGAAAAGTCTACTATATGGACTGAAAAAGTACACTTCTGAAAATGTGTACTCATTGTTTGTCAGGGAAGTAGAGCAAAGTCTCCTTTAAGAATTCTCCTCATTCGAGAAAGTCAGAGATACTAGATTTGGTACATTCAGATATGTGTGGCCCTATGAAGACGAAAACACTTGGTGACTCCAGATACTTTGTGACCTTCATAGATGATCATTCAAGGAAGTTGTGGGTATATACCTTGAATTCAAAAGACCAAGTGTTAGCAGTGTTCAAGCAATTTCAAGCCCTAATTGAGAGACAGACTGGGAAGAATCTGAGATGCATTCGTACTGATAATGGCGGAGAGTATTCTGGTCCTTTTGATGAGTATTGTAGACAGCAGGGTATCCGGCATCAAAAGATAACTCCGAAAACTCCTCAGTTGAATGGCGTAGCAGAAAGGATAAACATGACACTGGTTAAGAGAGTGAGATGTTTGCTTTCATAAGCCCAGTTGCCAAAATCCTTTTAGGGGGAGGCATTGAGCACAATTGTTCATATATTGAATCTTACACCCTGTGTTCCTCTACAGTTTGATATGCCAGACTGAGTTTGGACAGGTAAGGATGTTTCCTATAATCATCTACGTGTTTTTAGGTGCAAAGCATTTGTGCATATTCCAAAAGATGAAAGGTCCACACTTGATGTGAAAACACGACAGTGTATATTCCTTGGCTATGGCCAAGATGAGTTTGGGTGCAAGCTTTATGATCTAGTTGAGAAGAAAATTGTGAGAAGCAGAGATGTCGTGTTTGTAGAAGATCAGACGATTCAGGATATTAAGAAAGCAGGGAAATCTATGCCTCAGCAAGGTGATATCTTGACTGATGTAGATTCAGCTCCTTTGAAGAATCTGCCATCTCAGGTTGAGAATGATGTTCAAGATGACCACCAGTGTATAGGTGATGTGGATGTTCCCCTACAGGTTCAGGGAGATGTTGAGACTAATGAGCAGTTTACAGCTCCAGAGATTCCACCAGAGATTCCATCCAGGAAGTCTCCTAGAGACCGACGTCCTTCCACTTGGTATATTCAGCAGAGCAGTATGTGTTATTGACTGACGGGGGAGAGCCCCAGTGTTTTGTAGAAGCCATAGAAGATGAACACAAGATAGAGTGGGTTGAGGCCATGCAAGATGAGATGTAGTCATTGTATGATAACCACACTTTTGAGTCAGTAAAGCTACCTAAAGGAAAAAGAGCTTTGGAAAACAAGTGGATTTACAGGAAGAAGCCAAATGGGTTCTCTTCACGGCCACGGTACAAAGCTAGATTGGTTGTCAAAGGGTTCGGTCAGAAAAAAGGTATTGACTTTGATGAGATCTTCTCTCTAGTCGTAAAAATGTCATCGATCCGTATAGCACTCGG